CTGTCCCAAAAATAAATAAACGTTGAAAAAAAATTTTTTTTAAAAAAAGAAAATATTAGTGGGGCACCTGGGTGGCTCAGTCGGTTGAGTGTCCGACTCTTGAGTTTGGCTCTAGTCATGACGTTCGAGCTCCGTTGTCGGGCTCTGTGCTCACAGCATGGAGCCTGCTTGGGAGTCTCTCTCTCCCTCTCTCTCTCCTTCTGTCCCTCTCCTGTGTGACTCTGTCTTTCAAAATAAGTGAACTCGAAAAAATTTAGAGGATAGCAATGATGGTAACATGGTGATTTTTAAAAAAGCCGTGAATCCACAATGATATGTTTCTAAAAGTGGAAATCTTTAAGCAAAATGCCAGCTAATAAATGCAGAAAAGATGAACTCGTTAGAAACCTGACATTTTGCAGCCACCCCCTGGGGTAAAAAGTTTTGGGAGACAAGCTGTTCCCGTGGCCCTCCGTCCTCCCGCGGAACCTTCTGTGTCCCTTCCAGCCCCCTAGAAGGGGTCTCCGATGGGAGACTGCCCACGGCCAAGCTTGAGCGGTGCGGGCTCTGGGATCCTTCCTTGTGGCCCCACTGTCTCCAGGCTCCACTGCCACCGAGCCCTGCAGTCCCTGGGAGTCCCCACACTGCCCCCAACCTTTGCACACGCTCCACCGGGATGCCGGTCTCAGCCCAGAGACCACCTCCTCCTGAGAGCCCTCCCACATCCTGGGTGAGAGGGACACAGCCCAGCGCACACTGCCCATGGGCCCTGAGTGGGCACGGGGCCCAGGGTCTAGGCCTCAGGGAGCACAGGCCCGAAGGGCGGGCAACCGTGGCTCAGAGCAGCCCATTCAGGACCTGCCTCCGGGCAGGCAGTCTAGGCTATGTAGGCGGGGCAGGGGAGAGGGGTGATGGACAGCCCCCGCCTCAGTCTCCCCATCTGTAGCAACAGCTATTTACAGGGATGAGGGCCCTCCACCCCCCACCCCAGGCTAACCCAGCCACCTTCCCCTCACGCTGGGCCCACCACTCCGGGATGCTGCAGATGCACCTGTGGGGCAGGGGCCATACCAGCATCAACCGGGCCCATCTTCACCCCAACGCCCCACGCCACACACGCAGGCTGGCGCTGGTTTTTTTGTTCATTTATTTAAAACAAACATCTGTGCGCTATGTACAGGTCTGGCTCCCGGGCAGGTGGGTGTGCAGGGGGCCAAGCTGGGTGGGAGAGAGCAATGGCAGGGGGCAGGGGTGGGGAGGGGATCCGGCTGTTCGTCTGGCCAGCGGGGCAGCTTCTCCGTTCCTGCTGCCCAGCCCACCCCCTTGAGGCAGCCCCTCCCTGGCCCATGCCCACGGCTTCCCTCAGGTGGGGGCTTGCCCAAATGAGAGCAGGATGAGGGGGCCTCTTCCTACAGCAAAATAAATAAGGGCCGGGGGCGGGACCTAACCCAGTCCCCATCCTCAGCCCCAGGCCGGCCCATCAGTCTCGGGTGTCAGAGAAAGGCCCGTTCAGGAGCCAGGCCCGGCCAACAGGGTCTGGTGGCACCTGGTGGCCCTGGGGGTGGTGGGCAGAGCTGGACGGGGGCAGAGGCTAGGGGCCGGTCAGACCCCAAGGCTTTAAGGCAGAGCAGGGTGAGGGTGTGTGCGGCCCAGGGCCAGGCCAACCTTTGGCACAATCAGGGGAGGGCAGCGCAGTGGCCTCAGGCAGTGCTGAGGACAGGTGAGGGGCTGGAGGGGGCCCCCACTCCAGGGCCTCGTGGCGGGCACTGGGGGGCACAGGGTGGGGCCTCGGCCACCGCCTGACTTCTGTCCCCACTGCGTGTCCTTGAGCCAGCGCCTGACGGTCAGCAGAGTGTGTCCGTGTTGAAGGACAGCTGGGCCTGGTAGGCAGACGGCAGGTGAGCCGCGCTGGGGGAGACGTCCGCTACCCCACGCACCCGCGGGCCTGGGACTGGATCCCCCACCTCTGTCTCCCGTGAGTTCTCCCTCAGTGGCCAAGTCTGGTGGCTCCTGTGTCCCCAGGCTCTGCTCCCCCCTACCCCACCTCTGCTCTGCCCGTGTCTGGAACCCCTCAAGGTTTCCAACGTGTCTCGGGGTCTACAACCAGTCTGTTTCCACCTGTGCCCGGAGCCTCCTGTGTCCACCCTAGTCCTGAGCATCCGACGGATCCCTCAGGGCTGCAGGAGTCCCCGGGGCCACTCGTCTCCAAGCCCTCTCCTTATGCAGAGCCTGAGCCCTCTGGCCAGCCTGGCTGCCCTGACCCTACAGGCCGGGCTCACCCGCTCCTCCTCGAAGCTGATGAGGCCCTCGTCCTCTGTGTCCAGGTCCTCGGGCTCGTCAGCCACGAGTGCCCGCAGCTCGGTGGGGGCGGGCCGGGCCCGGAACAGGCTGAGCAGGCGGCCCAGGGGAGACCGCAGAGCCGAGGGGGGCTCTGTCTCCTGCTGCTCCAGGTTGTCGCTCTGCTTCTTGGCGAAGTTCACAAATACCTGGCGGGTGGGGTGCGTGGGTGGGTGAGCGGGGTGCAGCCCAGGCTGGCCCGATGCGCCGAGCTGGGGCACTCACGTTGTCCAGGGTGGTCTGGCTGACCGAGTAGTCCTCGATGCCCAGCACGCCCGCCACCTGCTCCATCTTGCTGAACACCTGAGCCAGGGAGATGTGCTCCGACTGCAACTGGTACTGCACCTTCGTGTGGTGACGCTCCTGGGGACGCAGGGAGGTCAGAGGCGGCTGGGCGCACCGCCCCGCCCCACCCCCTGGGGCCCCGCCCCGCCCCCTGGGGCCCCGCCCCGCCCCCTGGGGTCCCGCCCCACCTTGAGCACAGCCTCCGGGAAGTTGCGGTTGAAGAACCGCACCACGTCCTTCACGTTCTGGCTGCTCTTCGTCCTCACGGTGATCATGTATCCGTCTCCGAACCTGCGGGACAGGCCTGTGGCCCCGAGCCCCGGGCCCCCCCCCCCCCCGCCCCCCCCCCCCCGCGCCCCTCCCGCCGCCGGCACCCTCGGCTCGGCTCACCGGTTCTTCAGGTGCTGGATGCTGCCCAGACAGCGCAGGCGCCCGTTCACCATGATGGCGAGCCGCGTGCACAGCGCTTCGCACTCCTCCATGCTGCGGGGCGGAGACGCAGGGGCT